GGGCTGGGGTTGAAAACCCCCCCCCCCCTTTGGTATTTTGTATGTGTGTATTTTGGAGAACCCCCCTCTTTGGTTTTTGTTTGTTTGTTTGTTTTTAAATAAAAAAATATGCCAATGGCTGACCTAAAAAGTTGACCTTACCACCCCCCAACAGAGCAAAATGTCAAATTTTGAAATTTCGAGACAAAAACAAAAGTGTCCTCTTACTCCCCCCCCCCCCGCTTATTCAACGGCTGACTGAGTCGTTGCGATTTTTGGGGGATCAACAAAAAAGTGTCCGCTTACCCCCCCCCCCCCCCCCCCCCCTTGAAAAAACCTCCTGCGTACGCTACTGAACAATTGTATTCATTTAGCTATTTCGATATAAAATTACATGTTGAGTTCATTATTTCTGTCTTATCAACCCAGCCTCTGTCGTAATAACCTTACTGATCTGGGCCGCAGTCAGCGTCTCTGGAACTACTACAGAACTTTCCACGACGGCCGGTGACACTGTCAACATAGCATGTCTCTTCGGAGAAGGCACGGTAATTAATATCTACTGGTACTACAACAACGGTACCGGGCGTCAGAAGCTTTTGTTCCTTGCCAGGGGAACATAACATTAGGAGCAGAATATGCAAATCGAGCAAGTTTGCAAGACGACAATTCGACGCTCATCTTGGAAAATATAACCGTCGTCGATGTGGGAACCTATTGCTGTGTCGTGGACCGGAAAGGACAAATTCCAGTGCAAAACATCAACACCAAGCTCAATGTGTTCAGTAAGTTTCAATTCTGATCTCCTTGACGACCATATGCAATGATTGATTATGTCATTGTTTAAAGAATAGTCACATTTTCACGTAAAAGCTAGACGTTAAGGCCACACAAGAACAGTTTTGTTTAATAATAATAACATAAATTGTTCTGTTTACCCACGAAGCCTAACTAGCACCAATAATGTTCTTACTGTAGATCCTACAACTAGTGTATCCAAATCAACTGTCAGGTTCACATAGACTTCAGGGCTAAGATAATTAATGTGTATTAATACAGATACCTTAGTGTCGACCTGGGATTCTAACCAGCAAGTTTAGGATTGAGAGTCATTCAAGTGAATTGACCACTTTACTATGACACCTACAACTTGTTTGCTCAATATCTATTTTTGTTGTTGATGTTTTCCGTTTGTTTGTTGCTTTAATTACTCCGTTAACCCCCACAAAAGAAAAAGGTTCAGGTAGAGCCTAGAGATCCTCAATCACTTGCCCCATTGTACTCGGCTTCGAAATTGCCATATATTAAGTTTCTTTGGCGGGGTCCTAAAATAGATCCTACATCCCTAGAAGAAGTTTTGCCCTCATCTGTTCATCTGGACTAAGCTGTATTCATATGGTACTTGGCAATTATCTTGTAATTAATGTAGGACCTGCAGGAAGAGCAGTAGTAACACTGGTGTGGCTATCCTGGGTAAATAATCTAAAATTATAATAACGACAAATTTAATATCAAAAATAATAATAACAATAATATTAATAATAATAATAACAACAATAATGATTATAGTAATAATACGAGTAATAATATCAAAGACTATTTTGATTATTATTACTATCATTATCATTGTTATCATTTTATTATTATTATTATTATTCGATGATACTGGTATTCAAGTTTCAAGTTTATTTGTTTCACATTTCACAAAACAGAATTCACATAAATGACCAAATTGTAAAATAAGTATGACCGTATAATATAATCGAGTCTTTGTAAAGACGTCGAAATTGATTGTTTGAAATGTTAGGTTATACAGGGTAAAATGTTAGGTTATACAGGGTAAAATGCGAGGAACCTATGAACAGCTTAGCTTGTAGATTAAAGGTTCCCCTAAATAAAAAATAAACATTTGATTGGAGTGGTTGCAATGGTGAAGGATGTTCCAATAATAATAGGTGTGCAAGAAAGCCTTAAGGATAGTTGAGTTCTTCTTTCAGACCGCAAATGCCTTCAGAATGCATGGTTATTGCTCTTATCCTTATTTATGACATTACTAGTGCTCTTTTAGGACCCAAAATTGCTATGAAAAAGTTTTGCCCCCCCCCCGAATTTGCAAAAATATTTAGCCAATACGCTCATACTAATTCAGCTCCACTTTTATGAAATCACGGTGACCTTTAATTAATTAATTAATTATAACAATACACTGGCCGGCTGGATGTGCCAATTATAACCAACACGAAATAGCCATCAAAGCCAACATCGGCATTGCATGGCTAGAATAAAACGTATAAGGCCCTTTTTCTTCAAGAGCTGGTCCAAATTACCTTAAATTTTTGGTGGTACACAAATATTAGAAATCGTTATATTTATGGTTATTTCAGCCGTCTCTGAACCGATTTTGTCATTCAAAGTGTATGTTCTTTCAAATTAGACACTCAGTTTTCCATTATTATATTTTTTTTTTAAATGATATTTTATTTCCTTCCTCATAATTTCACATAACAAGAAATTATCAAATTAAGCAATATAAAACAAGATCTTTGATACAAGACACTACATGAGTTACATCAATCAATGAACATAGAAAAAAAAAAAAAAATTCTTGCATGTAACAGTGTATAATCAAAATAACACTAGATGAAGGTTTAAAGTGTAGATTTTTTTTTTTTAAATGATATTTTATTTCCTTCCTCATAATTTCACATAACAAGAAATTCACATAACAAGAAATTATCAAGATAAGCAATATAAAACAAGATCTTTGATACAAGACATTTCATAAGTTACATCAATCAATGAACATAGAGAAAAAAAAAGGAAAAAAAAGTCTTGCATGTAACAGTGTATATAATAAAAATAACAGTAGAGGAAGGTTTAAAGTTACATATTACCATCCTATCACAACACTCTCAACCCCCCCCCCCTCTAGCCCATCCACACCACACCCCCTTTCACACACATAAACAACCATACAAACACAAACACACACTGCATGCAACCTGTTCCCTCAACTCACACCACACAAACTCTTCACCCCCCCCCCCCCCCCCCCTAGCCCACCCATCTCACACCCCCTTCACGCCGACACACACGCTGCATGCAACTTTTTCCGGTTTGTCCACCTGTACACGAGAGAGAATTAATGATACTAATAATAATAATAATACCCACATCCATTAAGGTAAAAATGCATCGATTTGTTCCCATTTCTGTAAGTGCATCCCCAGTTATCTCACAACAAAAACAAATTGTGTAGCGCCCTCTTCAACAAAACTCAACTAGTAGACATCATGTAATATACAATAATAAGAAGGCCGTAGCCTAGACACAATCTATCATTACCAACATGCATTCAAACCCATGCACGCCTGCTACCAGAGATCCCCAGGGCACGCAAACACACTCGCCTGATCCATGCCCGACGCCTCCCTTGCAGTGTCTTTTCGCGTAAATTAGTTAACAGTGGCCGTCGCCAGGCCGGATAATCTACACTGCTTGTCTGACCTAGCAACAACAATTTACATAGGTTTATCTTTTTGTTTTAATTTGAAAAACTCATTATACTATATTTATGTATACTTTCTATTTCACAACTTTAAACCATGTAAAATGTATTATATTATTGAATGTTGAATTGTATATCTGATTTCTTGTCAAAATTACTATTCTGTTGGAAATGAAAAATAAAAACTGAACTGAACTGAACTATGCAAATGACCTCGACAAGAAAAACAAGGCCCTTGCACATGTAGGCGACCACGTTCGCATTCCTGAATGTCCTCCGGCCCTGCACACTGGTTACAGGCGCGCATACATCAGAACATGTTTATCGGGAAGGCCCACAGTATCTGTATTACTAATAATACTATTATTATCATTATCATTTTTCAATTAAGGTCTTCGCCCTAATACACTCCCGGTGATACCTTCTTGCACCGGAGCTGACGAGTCTTCATCCTGCAGCATTCGTGACAACCAACCCTTCACCCTCAACTGCACACTCCCCAACGTTTATCCTGTTGAAGATACCGAACTCATTTGGTATCATGATAGAAAACATTTCCCATCTATTCCTGAAGTAACGCAGAACGATGACGGGACCACTAAAATCAGTCGACAGATTAAGATACTTGAAACAGGAAACTTTACCTGTAACGCCACATATCTTTCGGCTAACGGAAGAGAGAACACAGCCGTATCAGTTGAAGCACGGATCATCATCATTCCACCCACGGGTATGTATTTATAAAATCTTGACAATTTGTACTAAAACCTTGTTTTGCTTTCTGCGTCCCTCTACACTGTTGCCTGCTTGCCACACTTGGAATTTTGCGCAAAACAATACAAACCAATTGATGTCAGTCATTTTTTGTGCAACACAAATGGCTTTGCAGATTCCCGTCTTGATTAGCCCCATGACAACTTCCTAACACCGTTATAGATTTATCTAGCAACGGAAACAATTATAAAAACTTTGGTATATCTATCTCACAATAAAAACAATGTGGAACAGGGAGATTATTGTGTGCCTGTTCACCATTTTCACTGATAGGAAAATTCATTTAGGGTTGTATTGTATCTGCACATTAGAAGGATTTAATTTTTAATGATATATACTTTAAGTGGATGTTAATGTTTGACTTCATGTTATTGATAATATATCTTAGGACATTCTCTTTTATATAGCAACTTATATGTTGAAATCTGTGAGCATGAAATTACAATTAATTTGTAATAGCTGTATTGCTGAGCTTCAAACGAAATTTTCCGTTCTATTTTGCGCTTTTAAAGTTCAACTGTATCATTATTATTATTATCAATACTATTATGGTTATTACAATCGTTATTAACATCATTATTATTATTTATTATAACTATCATTATTATTAACACAGAAAGATGTTAGACAGACTCCTCGGAAGATGACGCTCCCTAAGGTTATCCTAATAAATGAAGTCCTGCTTAAATAATCAGTTTTTAGTTTTCTTTCAACTTGCCCTTTTTTCTTAGATGTAACAAACACAACGGAAAAGAATTTGACGGATGGTGCAATAGTCGGGATAGCAATTAGCATTGTCACAGTGCTGATTGTAGGCATTCTCCTTTGCATCTATTGTTTGAAAAGACGAAGTAAGCTTGTATTAGAAATATGACGAACTTATTTTCCTACTTTAAAACATAATCATAATTTTATACAATATTTTAAAAGGACTAGGTTTTTCGATTCAAAATCAATGTAGTTGGGTTGAAAGTGAAGTTGCTTTTCGTCGGTGAAATCCAACCCGATATTGGGTAAATTGTTAACCCTAATTGTGTTTGATTTCACACACAAAAAAAAAATACAAGTGTTACAATTTGTTACCCATTAGGCCTCTTTCAGACCTATGTCGCACGCAGTTGCCATTCATTTAAATAAAATAAAAACACGCAGCTATTGTGTCCACCTTTTCTGTGCCGTTTACCCATTTATATCTCAACGATCCTTTTAATGGGTAAATTTTTATATCTTGGTAGGTGTGTATTTAAAAAAAAAAAATATTTAGGCGAGGCTTAAAAAATATCGATACCAGCTGGCTACCGCCTCACGTATTGGCGGATCGAGGCTGCAATTCCGCCCGAAGCCTGGCTGGGGCAATTAATTTTCACTAATTAGCCCAGCCGGCTTGCGCCAGGCTGGGATCTGAGTTTTACCCCGGAATCTTTAATCGGCCCATCCACCCCCCGCCTGGCGGTACGTCTATAATTGGCTCAGCCGGCCTCCGCCAAAGATAGGTTGTTAAAGTTGCAACTTTAAAGTTTCCAGTTGGCGGCCGCCGTACGGAGATGCTTACAGTTTTAGTGGCGGCAGCCAGGCGGAGATGCTTGTAATCCAGAATCTTTACGGTCTTTTATAATTTCCCCACACTTGATCCAAGCTGTCGAAGATGGCGTTATCAACAGACTCATAATTATGCTCACCAGCCCAGCCTGAGTTTCGCCGGGCGTCTTAATTTAATAATGCTACTACTAGTCTACCACTGCTGCTATAAGGCCTACTACTACTAGTACTACTACTACTACTACTATTACTACTACTTTACTGTTACTACTACTTCTACTACTGCTGCTGTTGTTACTACTACTACTAGGCGTGGTCCAGGATTTAATTCTTAAGGGGGGCCCACATTTGAAATTATGCGAGCCAAATATTTATTTTTTTTTTTTTGGGGGGGGGGGGTAGACAAAAAAATGCCCATCACCCCACTCTAACATGTAGGCCCCGCCGTTGAACGTTTTTCAGTGGGGGTCTAGGGGTAGAGCCCCCAGAAGCTCAGGGGGTATAGGCATTTAATTACTGTCAAATGAGCATATTTTGATACCGTATTTGTGACACTGGCAGGACATAAATTTGTTTTGGGTCCAGAGGGCGGAGCCCCCAGAAGCTCAGGGGTTTTAAACATTAAATTATCGTCAGATGAGCACAATTTTATACCTTATTTGTGACACTGGCAGGTCACGAATTGACGTGGGGTCCAGGGGCGGAGCCCCCGGAAGCTCAGGGGTTTTGGGCAATAAATGACGATCAGATGAGCATATTATGATACCTCATTTGTGACACTGGCAGGACACAAATTGGTGTTGTGTCCAGGGGGTGAAGCCCCCGGAAGCTCAGGGGTTTTGGGCAATAAATTACGGTCAGATGAGCATATTTTTATACCTTATTTGTGACACTGGCAGGACATAAATTGGTGTTGGGTCCAGGGGGCGGAGCCTTAGGGCCCTAGATGAGGTCCAGGGGGCAGAGCCACCGGATGTCAAGGGGTTTTAGGCATTTAATTATGGTAAGATGAGCATATTAGCAAATTGAATGACGCAATTAGCTTTTTAAATGTTGATCTACATAGTCATTCAATTTCGCACGAACTTGAATGAACGTAACATTAATTGGATGCTAAGCTACTAGTTTACGAAGTTTGGCCGGAAAAACTATAGTATCATTATCATTGAGATTTAGATATTTTTTTAATTACTATAGTTTACACAAAAATTATATTTCTGTAAATGTAAATGGGTTTGTAATTGCAAAAACCAGAAAGTCCGAAATAATATTTAAACATTTTCTTAATTCCGAAAATGAAATGGACCGCGGGCTATTTATTATTGACATTTCGTTCTCATTTTCTTTATCACACGTTTTGTAATCTTGACACAGTTCATTCTTTCCTAATCGCTTTTTAAAACACCAATTTAGATTGGCCGCTTTTCAAAGACATGAACAAATTATTATGACGTGCGCTTACCAGCCGATAATTGATTTGTGTTCTTTCTTTTTGTTTATCCACGCACTGTAGTCTTGTAGTCTCTTTCTATTCTTTACGCGTTTTAGAAGAGGAAAAAGACGAAAAAACACACCTGAAAACAAAGTGTTTATTTAACACCTTCTCGTTCTCTCAAATTTTCTCAATGTCTAGCCATGATAACTCTGTCTCATTTTGTCTCGATATGCCACTATTGCCAATATAAAGATCCTCTAATGCCATATTGTACTACTTGTAGCTACTTGCTCCCTCTATATAGAAGACAAGCCTATAATAAATCGGTGACCATTGGTCCCCATGATCCTCTCTTCTTATGTTAATCGAGAGCTGAGTTGATGAGATAGCCATCTGTCGGTGAGCACCCTGGGCGGTCTATTCACTCCTAGCCAAACTAGTACAGTCGGTCTTTAAAGACAACATTACATCAATGCCTAGGAAATGAAGGCCTATTTATTATCCGCTACTTTACTACGCCTCTGCAAGTATCCTGATGGGCCTTTGCCATTTGGGTCCGATCATTCACGAGACCCCCCCCCCCCCCATCCTCACACACACATGCCTTGCCGAGACATCAACATGGTATCAAATGTACACCTATTCTACTGACCAAATATTTAATTGGGCGATTCCCAAATCCCTAATCCCCGACCCGAACGATAGAATATGGCAAACCGCAAATCTGGACAAAAGCGATCGAACAATAACGTTGAGTCGCTGGGCTCGCGACTACGTAGTAAACGCTATAATGACAATAGATGCTTAGAGCTCGCCGTTGACTTGTTTGTAAATAGGGACTTTTAGATTTGCGTAGACTGATACGTGTGTCCATTCAAGGCAGTGCATTAAAAGGACGTCGATCGTAGCAATCCACATTGTCTTCGTGCAAAACTAAAAGTCTCTAATAACCGATAAAGGTGTACGTTAGATATAGTATTTGATCGTGAATCCTAACTTTTCCTTTTCTTTTCGTATATGTCTGTTTAACGTTATGTTTTCTGTTTGTTTCCATGACGCACCGCCCCACGAAAAAGCAATAACAACAACATAGTCAGGAGTAAACAGGTACTAAATACAAAAAAAAAAAAAATGAGAATGATAATGAAGAGAATGAATGTACACATATTTGAGAACATTACAGTTAACTTTAAAAACATGACGGTAAAAAAAAATAAAAATAAAAAGTGCAATGCGATGCTGGTGTATCGCATTGTGCATTCATTGTCTGCCTTCAGAGGGTTAACAGAACATACATGTATACAGTATATGCTTTAGTTTTTATCTACGTTCTGTGATTTTATGATTCTTCACTACCAACATTCTGAAGATTACAAACTTAGTCGTAATGAAAGTCATATCTTAAAATGGGGGATTTGGAAAAATAGTGACGTTTAATAGAGCAGATACAATAACAACACATTCTGGCTTTGCAATGCATATTGTCTTCTAAGACTATACAAAGTTTGTTTGTGTAGTCGCATATAGACTACATCTTTCTATGTACGGTGTTTGTTACTTTATAACCAAGGCTTGGCTAATTCCAGAACCTAATTGGATTACACACCAATACGTATATGTTACATGATCAACCTAAACTAAATTTGCGCCCCCTAAGTTTCAGAACAATTTGCGGCACCTCAATAAAATATACATTTCTGCACCCTAAGTTTCAGTTCAAATTTGCGCCCCCTTAGTTTCAGTTCAATTGTGCGCCCCCCTCAATAACATATTAACGTCCTACCCCCCCCCCCCCCCAGTTTCAGATCAATGTGGCGCGGGCCCTTCAATGTAGTATATACATTTGGCGCCGCCTCAATGAAAGATCCATTTTGCGCCCACCTTAGTTTCAGACCAATTTTGCCGCGCCCCCTTAATAACATATAAACGTCCTACCCCCTTAGTTTCAGATCAATTTGGCGCCGCCTCAATGAAAGATCCATTTTGCGCCCACCTTAGTTTTAGACCAATTTTGCGCCCCCTTAATAACATATAAACGTCCTACCCCCTTAGTTTCAGATCAATTTGTCGCCGCCTCAATAAAAGATCCATTTTGCGCCCACCTTAGTTTCAGACCCATTTTGCGCCCCCTTAATAACATATAAACGTCCTACCCCCTTAGTTTCAGATTAATTTGGCGCCGCCTCAATGAAAGATCCATTTGCGCCCACCTTAGTTTCAGACCAATTTTGCGCCCCCTTAATAACATATAAACGTCCTACCCCCTTAGTTTTAGATCAATTTTGCACCCCCTCAATGAAAGATCAATTTTGCGCCCAACTTAGTTTCAGATCAATTTTGCGCCCCCTCCTTAGTCTAAGATATATGTTGCGCCCCAAAGGTTAAGATAAATTTTGCGCTACCTCAATCGAATATAAAAATGCCGCCCCTTAGTTTCAGATCAATTTTGCGACCCCCCCCCCCCCGAAGTTTCAGATCTATTTTTCGCCATCTCAGTAAAAAAGACAAATTGTGCGCCCCCGTCAATAATGTATATATTTTCCGCCACCTAAGTTTCAGATCAATTTGCAACTCTTTAATTAATCAGCACTGTCATTTTTCTGTACTTTTTTCCAAGTTTAATATTTTTCGTTATATACTTTCAATTATTTCGCTCTATATCTAACACCATCACCTTAATACGGCGAATAAAATGTGAACGCAACGTTGCCATATGATGGAAGGCACGTTTGAAAGGGAGAGGAAGAGAGAGAGAGAGAGAGAGAGGGGGGGGGGGGGGTGTCGAAGACCAAAGGGGAACCTTTGACCCATGTATTGTTCTTGAAATGCATGCAATACTGTTTAATGCACCCATAGACCTGCAGGGATGGGGCATAT